CGCAAAAAGCGTAGATCCCCTTCTGTTTTGGAAGGATTTCGAATTTGAAGGTCCGTTTCCTTGGAGGTATCAGGCTTGTACCAACAGCAACCGTATGGGCTCAAGGCGGTGCAGCCCAATTTGTTTGTGCCGCTTGCTCGGTGCATAATTTGCGGCGGTTATGTCGACAGCAGGCCTTTTTGTCCCCTCCCATCGCCATCCCCTCACTGTATCCTTCACCTTTACTGGCTTACCTTCTTACCTTCCCCAATGGGATACCAACCTTGTTTTCTACCTGGTAGCGGAGCTGTCGCACCTGCGGCAGCTCCACTCATCTCCGCCCTCGGCGTGCTCACCACTTACGCCGAGCTCCGCCGACGTAGTTGCGGAAACGCGGACGACCTCGAGGATCAGAGCCCGATGATCATCACCAGCTACTACGCGACCGCTGCCATTCAACCGACGCCACTTCGGGCCACGAGCACGCGGGGAAGCCCGACCGTTCACGCGAAGGCTCCCCCCCCCTCGACGACAACCTGGAAAAGCCCCACCATTACTACCTCCTGGTCTACCAGCGCGCGAGGAGCCTCGACCATTACTACGACGGCCCCAACTTTATCCAACACCATCCCCACCGACGGGCGCATTCCTACTCCGAGCGCACATACATAACAAACATCCTCTCCTCCAAAACCGACGGGCGCCGATTGGCGAACCCACCACAACTTGCAACTGAATGTGGACACACGACTGGCTCCTCCATCACCGACCGCACCCACATCACCACCCACTACCTCAGCCTCATGATATCCGGGAATAGGACATTCCCGATTGGCGGCATATTTGGACACATAATTCGCGAACGAGATGGAGACCAGACGCGTGGACCTTCTTGGAACCTGCCAGGCAATGTGCCCCACCGGATGTGGGTTCGCGAGGTCCACGCATGGATGGACGCGCGTTCGGTTAGAAAGGCTCCGTCGCAACAGGCTGCAGCAATACAGCAGAGCCTCCAAGGCCTCGCACGCAGTTTGGCCACGCGCATGCTAGCAGGCATCATAAATTTCGGTGCCGAGATGATAGTGGTGTCCGCACGGACCCCGTGACGCACATTTTTTTAAATTCGCGGAGCAGTTCGGAAGCCTCCTCGGCGAATGTCCAATACAGCAAGGATTCGAGCTCATTGACTTCCGAGTCGTGCCACACGAGCGCATCGACAACGTTCTGGCCCGCTGGGAGGTAACCAGATTAGACTCTCAGGCTGCTGGGTTCGGATTGGAGTCACTTCCAACATCTCTTCACCAATATATGACGTGTTTTACGTGTACCGCCACACGAATGTTCAAATTTGCTTCAGCCTTTGAACGGAGAGATGCTTCGCAATCAATTTTAATACTACCCACGAACATCACCAATCCGACGCCAGCACAACATTGTTGGACGAGTGCCTGGAAGAAAAATTGTTCCTCGCCGTGCTGGCAGACTTCCTAGTGCCGACAGGTGACCGCGGTGGTTGCTCATGCGTCTACATGAACTCAAGATGTCTGGCGGATTTCTCGCTTGCAGTCACCGCGTACGTAAATAGAGGGGGGGCACGCCGGACTGTGTGGACCCGCGACTGCTCGCTGAGGAGCGTGTGCGCGCGCTCCCTTCTGCACCGACTGTCGCGGGAGCGCGACCTAGAGCCCCGTCGCAAAATCGCGACCAAGACGCAATCTTGTCTGTGCCACAGCGAACCCAGCCTTCATCTTCTCGCCCTTGGGTTTTCAGGGACGATTTCGGTCCGCCCCGCTTCAAGCTGGCTGCATTCTTCAGCTTACATCTGCAGAGTTCACGTTGGTGCTTGGAAACGATGCCCAGAGGAAGTGCCTCGATCAGGGAAGTGGGCAGCACACAGAGGGAGGGTCCCCCAGTGGAGGCCTCTTGGAGCGTCTCGGGGGCCTCTTGGCGGTCCCGGGTGCCTCTTAGAGCGTCTTGGGTGCCTCGGAGAGTTTCTTGGGGCATCTTGGGGGTGTTTCGGTGGCCTATTGGAGGCCTCTGGGGCGCCTGTTGGGGCCTCCTTGGGCCTCCTGGGCGCCTCTTGGAGCCCTCTTGAAGCGCTCTTGGGAGCGCTCTTGGAGCCCTCTTGGGTCATCTTGGAGTCATCGTGGAGCCTCGGAGGATGGCCATCCGAAGCGAAAAGGCGAGAACACCCAAAACATTGATTTCCCTTAGATTTTGGAAGGCTTTTGGCCTCTTCGGGGCCTCCTGGGGGAGCTATTTGGCCACATGGAACCGTCTCGAAACGGTTTTGGGGCATCTTGGAGCATCGTGGGAGCCATATTGAGGCATCTTGGGATATCTTGAGCCATCTTGGAGATCAGCTTGGGCTCTCCCAGGCGCTCTTGGAGTCATCTGAAGCAGCGCCCCCCCCCAGGAGGCCCAAATGTGGCCAAAACCTTTGTAACATCAGTGATTTTGGCAGTGTCGCCGACGCCTCTTGGAGCGTCTTGGGTGCCTTTGGGGGGCCTTTTGGGGCTTC